ACTGAAACCAGAGGAGGAAGGAATGACAAGACCAAGGTGACAACAAGGTCAAACGCTGCAGAAAGATCCAGGACGAAGAATGCAGAGGTGGCCTTGCTCCCTGGGGTCTTTTCTAGCTCCATCATTCTATGTATCTGAATATTTGTGTCATTACAGTGACAATTCTGCCATTAACCTGTCTGGTTTTTATAGTTCCAAGTTACAGGAATGCTAAACTGTTGTGTATATAGTATAATTTCGGTTTCATGAAATTCTTTAATAACCCTGTTGTCAAGGTATTAGAGTACCCCATCCTAGGTTAACATTAAGTTTTTACTGTACTGAGATTTTTAGAAATATCTGAAGTGTGGGATTTTGCAATGGGACACAAATAGCCAACTCTAAGCTATGAAAAATTGATGTGGATTTGTGAGCCAGTTAATTTATTCAAATCAAAATAGTGTTTCAAATCTTATTCTATACTTCTGGATAAGAGCGCAACATTTGTGTTTGGAGGGAAAAAAAATCCCAATCATTTGTTAGCGGCAATTCTCATAGCTAAACACCATAAACAGATTCCATGGATTGACTATTGTAGCATTTTATCCTTAACAAAAATGCTTGCCCAATTTCTTAAACACTTATTGAACACCTCTTCTATTAATGTTATACTCCAATGTGTCATTGTGATGAGTTGACCTTAGATTATTAAAGGTATGCCAGCAAAGCACAGACTCTAATCAGTGAAAACTGGAAAGCCTTTTGAATATAGGCCCAGTGATGCAGCTAGTCTGCCATTCAAAGACCAACCAAACTTGAAGAGATATATCACTAGATTGGTGTGTTCTGCATTCCATTGAAACTCCAAAACTTTGAAATACTGAGCACTTACTATATATCTAGGATTATTTTTAAAATTTATTTTTAAAGTTTATTTTAAAATTATTTTTTAAAGACTTAGTCATAAAAATAATGGATATTGAGAAAAACTTCTCAAAATGATGTAAAGCTCTATATGTATATAAGCAATTGAAAGAAAAATGCCTTGGAGATAAAACTAATATGAGATCTTTTCATAAGTTTTGGTTTGGCAATATTGGTATTTTCTCAGAAAGAAAAAAGACAAGATTCCGACTTCTCAAATTGACCTGATTTTTACCATTTTTTATGACTGTATTGTAAACTCTGAGCAATTCTTTAAGGGAGTCATTAAGTAATTAGTCAAGTTGTATTACATATGTATATCACACTATAAAGCAACCAATTAATGTAAATAATTTTTCAAGTTCAACACTAAAGATAAACACTGATGGTTGGCATCCAGTAGTTTCCTGTTGTAAGTTAAGCTGAATTTTTATTACAAAAGAGATTAAGAGAATGGCATGCAGAATATGAAATATTGTGGTTTTTAAGAGACTAAATCCAGTCATTTAATCCCCTAATCTGACATTTTTACAGTTCATATGTAAATACCTTTTTAAAAGATTCCCGAATTCTTCTGTTCTGAGAGGTTCAGTAGCCTATACTTTAGTAAAGACATTTTATGGACTTTCTTGTTCTTGAGGCAAGAACTATGTCATTTGTCTTTGAATCACCAGCACATAGCTTGGTACCTAGCACACAGTAGGTCTTAATAAAGATTTACTGATTGCTTAGATTCAAGTAATGAAAAGAAGTATAGATTTAATGAGGGCTGAGCAATCTGGAGTTCTTATATTCATCTTTTGTACTGTATCTTCTGTTACGCATAAGAAAGTTGATATTTATAGTTATCACTGGTAAAGTAATTCTTAGTACTGTTATCACAGGTGTCACCAGGGATTCCCACAAAACATCTATCTCATTTTGTGATCAAGGTAATCACCACTTCAACTGGGTGCTTTTTTTTTTTAAATAAGACCATAACAAACTCGGAAAGGTAAGTCTCTGGAAATCCATAACTTGTAATCAGTTTCCCTATCAGTAATAGGAAAAGGCCCAGGGAGAAGAAGCTACTGCTCCATTCATTAAGGTACAGTCAGGTTCTTTATTTCAAAGGCTGCCTATCTAAGCTCCTTGACCTAATGGTCTCCCACCCCCTTTTCCTCTGCTAGGTAAAGGTGATATATTCCTTTTCTTCCTTCTCTCGCCAATAACTCCATCTTCCCCTTCCCCTCCAGCCCTAAGACCTGGAACTGACTTCATCAAGATGCAATGCATTTCTGAGCAGAGAAAGAAGTAAGCCAGGCTTGGAAGGGACAGTTTCCACATACTGTAAGACCTACAACCAGGCTAATCTCAGACAGTAATTATTGCGTTGTCCATTGCTCAGAAGCAGAAGGCAGCAGCAGGTACTTCTTCAGCTTCCTTGCCTGGAGTGTTTTTTTCCAGAAGGGCTGTCAGATTTATTTGACCTACCTTTCAGTTGGCAGGACGGATGAAGCTACCACAGATGTCACAAAGGAGCCTCAGTGAAGCTGCTGACTTAAAAACAAGCCAACCCTCAAGATAGCTATCTTCAGGTGCAGTTTTAATAATCACTTGCTGTATTTTAAAGAATTTTACAATGACAAGTAGGCTGAAATAATATATTCACAAAAGGTATAATGAAAAACATTTAAGAAAACAAATCCAACAGCCAGATGTTGTCCTGGAAATGAAACTTTGTTTAGGCTCCCCCATAGAGACTAATAACCTGAAAAGAAGAAATAACAGAAAGCTAGCTGTCAATACTTTAAAGAGCCCTTTTCAAGATTATTTTGCCCAAGAAAGCCAAGAGTGACAATGCAATTATACCACTGCTTTCAAGTCTAAAGTATGCAAACGGCACAACACATAGAGAATTAAAAAAAAAAATTTTAAAATCACTGCCACAAGAAATTAGTCATCAGAATCTCATTACTGCAGACTAGGGCTGGACCATAACACTATTTCATCAAGGACTCATTCATGTGCCATACCTCACATTGAATAGGAGTCAGACACCCAGTAGCACCCTCATATTTAAAAGGACTCAATACCCAGTTTCATAAGAAAATTCATCCCTTAGTAGACCATCTTTATGCTGTACAGGTACTAGGCTGACAACTCTAAGGAAACTAGTTTTTTTCTTGGCAATTTAAATATCTTTTGATAAAATCTCAAGAATCCTCAAAAGTCCTGATACAATCTAAAGACTCCATAGTACTTTCTATATATTCTTCATCCAAAATTCCACTCATTTGGTAGCTAATGTACCTCTACTGGATCATGCAACTATTCAGAATATTAACAGCTCCTATTACGAAACAATATATTGAGACTTGACATTGACTTTGTAGGCCATTGCCCCAGAAATATTTAACAAATGCACTGGGTTAATAGGCAGAAGTGCCACTGATGTACAAAATGCTCTTTTTGGGGCAGCTAGATGGCGTAGTGGATAGAGCACTGGCCCTGAAGTCAGGAGGACCTGAGTTCAAATCCGGCTTTAGACCAAACACTTGACACTTAATAGCTGTGTGACCTTGGGTAAGTCACTTAACCCCAATTGCCTAAAAAAGAACAAAAAACAAAAAAAATGCTCTTCTTGTGGCCTCAGCTTAGACCTTTCACAGAAAACTAGAAATGAAATCAATCACCATTGTGACTCATCTGCCTTATATTTTTTGTAAGGAATCAACTTGTCAAAGGATTTTGTTAAAATGAACTCTAGTCTGATACCTCATTGTGATGTGAAAATGACCCTACAACATTAGATGCTATAGCATCTAAGCAGCTTTGTGTGGCAAGTCAGCAGACTGGTAAAATGTTGAGATTGGGGCCAGTAGCAGACTCTATCTATTTCTAAGACCAGTCTAGCTAAATTCAGAGAGACTTATTATGGAAGGTTGGCCACCAGGTGGTATGCGGGTTGGGGGGAAGGAGGTGTTGGCTAAGACTCATCGGCTTAAAGTATTTGGGAAGGTGATGAACACTATCAGTAAAGGAAGTACACTGATAAAATTACAGATTTTTTGAAGAACAATTCATAGATAGAAACAATAACTTACTGTGTCGAAGACCTGGAATTGAAACAGAACTGAAGGCTATCTTCTGTTGTTCAATAGCAAGAAGATGGGAATAGAGAAATATTTGGAACCCAGGTGTTTTGCATCTGCTACCTTCCACCTTTCTGTTCTTGCAAGCCCCTGGATCTCCTCATGCTTTGTTTTGGTGGGTACTTTTGGAATTTAGGTAATTTTACTTCAGGCACTCGAGATGCCTATGGTAATAATAAAAGGGCTATAATAGATAAGCAACTGCTGCTTGCTTGTAAGAGAAAAGCCTTAATTGGTTAAGGGATAATTGCTTTGCACTCAGGAAGAAATAACCCAGAACTGTTTACTCCTTTTTATTAAATTTCAGTGATGAAAAAGACAAATGATCATAGTGGCTATTAGTTTCATGGACAGAGACTGGGACTAGGGAAAGCACTTCCACAGAAGGAACCCTTGCATAGAACTGGTGTAAGTGAATTAACACCACATTGTTTCTATCTGTGGAAATTTATTACAAAACACTCTTCTTTCATGTTATCATAATGGGACATTACCTATACTACAGGGGCATGTCCTTGTGTAGGGATTTGGGATGCTCCGAGTTAGGTAACTAGTGACTTCAGTAAGAACTGGTAAATTTGGAAAGGCTACAGATAAGGTCATCACTAAAGGGCTCCCCTAGGAAGTAAGTTGGAAAACAGACAATGAGCATGACAGATGGGTTTGTGCCTGACCTGCAGCAGTTAAGGTTATAGGATACATTAAACCATTTCATGTCTGGTTATGTGGTGTTCTATTATCAGTCAGTCGGTCTGGGTACCTATTTAAACCCCAGGTCTGGAAACAACAATGATAATTCAAATTGCCATTAATCCTTGACTTCTATATATAATATCTGCACATGCACATTTAGGGGGTGAGTGAACAAGAGGAGGAAGCAATCTGTCAATGTCTTTCAAAGAAAGGAGTGCTTTCCAGAGATTTATCTTCACAGAGAAACATGGTACAAAAAGCACTCAGATATTCTTCATTAACAATTTTATTTCTTACAATTAATTTCACTTTTGAATCTTCAAAGTTGATTTGTCTTTTTAAAAAATTAATACTTTTTTCTCATCATACAATTTTCTCCCCAAAAGGGAAATAACCCAGGGAAGGGAGTTGTCTAGGGACAGTTGAAATCCGTAGTGTACTTTCCCAACAAAAGTCTTCCAGGCTCACCATTTTGTGACTGCGACCAAAGAAGACGAAACAAGATGGTGGCATCTCGAGCTCACCTGAATAATGTCACAAATGTCAAACCTGGGCTAAGTGACTCATTTCAGGGCCATAGAAATAGCTATTGAAGTTTAGTCAATGGTTCCAATTGGATTTCTATGCTAGTAAACACAGCCATCAAATTGTGCCTCTCAGAAAGACAGAAATAAGCAAATACAGAGTAGCAATTTGGCCCAGGCAAGAATGAGATTAATAATAAAACCAGAAATACTTCATCTGGGCCACAGCAACATATTTGTTTTGTCACATTTTCCTTCAAGTACCTGGTGCCTGAAGTAGCATATTATAATGGAATTCTAGTTTTCAAAACATGCAGTTTTTTTAGTATTCAAACAAAAAGAAATCTAAGAATTTTGCAAGAATTTCTTCCACTCAGACATATCACATAACCAAGGTAAGATATTTTTGGAGGCACAGAAGAGTACAAGAAGAACAAGTGTATCCTAAGGCCTTATGTATGACCAAGATGGTAAAACACAATACATTTCATACACAGGAGTGGCAAATGTTGTTAAAGTGCTACTTATACAGGATAATCTAACATTAACACACAACTCAACTGCACTGCTAAATAAGGTTGTCTTTATTTCTTTTTTTTTTTTCTTGCCCAGCCCTACCTAAAACATAGAATAAATCTACAGGACTGAAATTAACAACCCATTAAAATCAGCAATAAGTTATGAAAATCATAAAGTAATTCTTTTAGTAATTAAGGGTAGTTAAATTACTTAAGGTATACAAAGTTCAAACAATGTCAGGGTTGAGGCTGCCACAAAGGCTTCAAGGGGAGATGGAGGGGCAGAGAAGAAGTAGGGAAGAGAGGAAAACGACAGGGTAACTTTTGTAGTCTGCAAGACAAGGGGAACACGAGACATCAAAGTGCAGGCTAAAAACTTCTCCTTAAAGAAAATAACATTGCTGATAATATTTGATACGAGCAATAGCACCTGCACAATGGGACTGTGAGGACGGGGAGGGAGAGAGACTGCCCGGAGGGAAGGGGAGGCGAAGTTTTACATGAGACAAGTGCTGAACTTAACTATGTTAACTATGATAGTGTAGGTACCGATGGTTAAAAGCTGGTCAAGGGGAATGATTCTAAAAAGAAACTAAAAACATTAGCTCTGACCTTTTTTCTACCTAGCCCCGACCTCATTCATTTTGTGCACTATAAAGAGTGAGGTGTGAGGTGTTTGATCATTATCAAATGCTGCATCAAAATAGATGATTTTTTCCCATGTGTTTTTCCACTATAAAAGACATCTATGTTTCTTATGGACAAGCTTTAAAAAGATGTCAGTTTGGTTTTTCAACACATACAAACATTTATCAAAATTGGAAATAAAAACGCTGCCGTGGCTCAGACCTGGGCCCGCTTAAGCTGTGGGCACAACTCTTCAGGCCCATGCAGACATGGAGGCATGTGGAGCTCGAGCCTTCCTATCCCCAATCCAGACCCAAATGGGCTTCCTTCAGTCACCCAGGGTGGGCTAGTGAGCTGGCCCCTTCGGGGCCCTAGTGCTAACAATTCGGGAAGAGGAGAACTTGCTTTAGCATGGAGTCCAACAGAAAGCTGAGCTGCATGATGATCCCTTTCAATAGGCTTCACGGGAGTCTCTCCTTTTGCAGGGCATGAAATGAGCTTTAAAAAAAGAATTGATCATCCACAGGCTTCATGATAAGCTGTCCCGGGCTGAGCTACAATAGCTCTCAGTTACACAAAATTAATGCCTGATTGTTTTAGTGTTTCATTACTAAGGGTTGGTTTGATTTTTTTTTTTTTTGTAGGATCATAAAGCTCAAGAAGGGCCCAAAGCCCAATCCTTAAATGTGTCCATTCAACGCAGTGTGAGCGAACTGGAAAAGAAGACAGAGGGTTGAATCTCCAATGTCCTCTTTCAAATCAATCAAATCAAATCAAGGACATGTCACATGAATTCTCCGCTGCCATTAGAAATTATGATTTTTGCAATAGGAATAACAACTGATATGTTGGTTCTCCTGGGGGAGGTCTACTTATAGATAGGCCTGTTGGACCCTTTTGTTCAAGTATAATTTTTGAAAGAGGAGACTGCATGATGAACCCACTTTAAGAAACTGGGTTGGCTTGGCCCAATGAGTAATTTGCCCTGCACTGTTTTGTCATGCTGGATTCTAGGAGGTAAATGAGAGTTTGACACTGGCACTGGAATAACCTTCATCACTCCCAATACTCTGCAGGCTGCTGTGATCGTCAAGGTCACTGATGCTGGTGGTGCTGATATTGTCCGCTTCTCCATGGGAGAACTCTGTGCTTTCAACATCCACTTCAATCTCCTCTGGCAAAGGGGAAAAGGAAAGAAGACGATTACTATTTGTCAGCGTGTGCATGTAACTTTAAGAAGGAATGGGGCTGAGATGAAAAGCAATTGCTGTTTTGGGCACTAAACAATTGTTACATAATAAGCTTATTATCAGTGATCTCTCTGAAAAGCAGGAGGGGGTGAGGGTGGAGTGACATGGGGATATTTTTGTAAAGGGGAATGTCCAGGATACAATGGTGGTCTCAATTTAAGGAGCAAGTTACTAAATCCTTTGACGCCAGCACGTCTGGACCTCCCACCAAAAGTACTCAGTCTATTTTGGAATTAGTGCTTAATATTAAAAAATCCAAATCCCAACTGGTTAAACGACATCTGTTTTGCATCACACTAGAAACTAATTCTCAGTGTTGTTTATTAATCAGTGTTGCCTTGTGGGGAAAAAAAGTATAAACTTAAGTAAACATAGGCTAATGGGAGAATATATTCAACCAGACTACTAGTGGCAGCAGTCCTATGGGGTACCACTAACTACCAAGATTTAACATAATGATGTTTGCATCTAGGCAAGAACCCATATTCAATTTAATTCAACAAGGCATGGGCTAAATCTATCACATAATTGATACTGATTACATTAATCATATAATAAACTTTGGGGGATAGATGTCCAAAATATGTTCTAGTTAAAAAAAAAGCCCAAAAAACCCATTCGACTTTGAAAAGACTTGGGTTCAAACCGCAGCTGTGCTGCTTCCTTGCTTTGTAATGATAAGTAATTCAATTAACCTCTGTGAGCCAATGTTAGTGCTTGTATTAAATTGGCAGAATTATTCATGCCCTCATGACCTGAAAGGTGCTTTGAGGATCAAATGAGGTAATATACAGAAGGCACTTTGAGATGTGATTACTAAAATTAAATTGTATCTACTATTACTTGAAATTAAGTGACTAAGGATTTAGAGATCATTGTATTATAGTAAAATCTTCATTTTAATGATATTTCTTGTAGTGGGATGGAAATTTCTACCTAAACAAACAAATACTCATAGCAAGAAAGCCCATGTACATACATACCTACAGTCAATCCAAAAGCTAAATTGATAGATATTCATGTGCTTACATAAATAAGCATACACAGGAAAAAATGTATTTTTAAAAAAAGCTACTTTAAATTTTTAAAAAGGCTATACCAGGCCAAAGTAAATTTAGGATTTTACATATTTCCTCCAACAAATAAACCCAAGCCTTGAAGTCTTGTATTTGGCACCAATTCTATAGATTACAAGAGTCACAACCTCTGAAAGAAAAATGGAATTCTGACTGCTGAGTCCAAGGAGTTAGGATGAAATGAGTTTCACAAGGATTTGTTGCTTTAAAAGTTTTGGAGGTTTACTTCTAAAACGCAGCCAGCTGTCTAAACAAGCTATACAACATAACTCTTTGTCACATCCATAGCACTTCTGATGCTGCTTACTTAGCATTCTCTGATCCAACCCAGCACCATTTGTTAAGCACCCACCATGTGCATGTCACTGTACTGGGTGCTGGGGAGAAGAAGACAGAGGAAGAAACCACAGGAGTCCTTTCCCTCAAGGAGCTTACAACCTATTAGCTGTAAGATTCCAAAGAACAGGATGGATACACACTGAGCTTATGCTTTGTAAAAAGGACTGAATCTAAGGAGACTGTTCAGGAGGTTATGTTGAACAGAACCAAGTTAGAAATTAACTCATCCCTTTGTTGGAAAAAGAAATAACATTTCAAACAGAAGCTAACTAGGACCTACTTCATACGTCTGTTGTGAGGCTCAAATGAGACATTTTTGAAGGTGCTTAGCCTAATGCTTGGCACCTAGTAAGTACTTAATAAATAATTTCCCCTTTCCCCTTGCCCTATGAAGTCAACAAAAGTTCCTCTTAGGAGGAAAGAAGATTGTTGAATAAGAACAGGGTACTACACGTCCAGTAGGCACTTCGCAAAATGTCTGATGACGAAGATAAGGATAAAGAACATGGTTTGCCTCTTGGCTATGAGGATTCCTTCCCCTTAAGGAATTACAGAATTATACACACAGCTTAGAACTGGAAGGGGTCTTAAGAAATCATCTGGCCTAGCTCTTTATCTACCTTGAGTCAGGTAAAGTCTTGTTTTTACAGATAAAATTACTCAAGTATGGGACCTTTTCACTCACTCTAATGTCTTCCCCAGAAGGTGGTGTTCTTTCTTCTGCTGCCATTATACCTAAAAGATTTTCCTTTCTTGGCACTGCCTGGGTGTCATTAAGTCAAAGCTTTGAGACTCTTAAAAACCCCAGAATCACTAGGACCTAATAGTGCTCACCTCAGGGGTGAGCACCTTTTTTTCAACAGAGCATGGAAGAAGCCTGGGAAGAGAGGAGATACAGCTGACTGGTAGATCAGGAGAATGCAGTCCAACTGTTTGTTTTCTTCTACCCCAACTCCAGAAACGTGTCCTTAGATGGTTATGACAAAAGGAAGACAGATATAGTACCTTTTCTTGATTGTTTTTAAGGAAATCACTAAGATTTACATCTTTGCTTGAGAAACAGCTCTGGACTCTTCCAGATTTTACTTGAGAGTACAGAAGGCAATGTCATCATTGGGGGAGATACAGTTGGCCTACCTCGCTCTGAATCTGAACGATCTGAAGAAATGGTGGAGCCGATGCTGTCCATTCGTATTCGCTCCATCTCCTGAGGACCCTGCAGCTGTTCCAGTCGTCGCTTTAAAAATCTCTGTTCTCGTTCCAGGTTTTCAAGCTGGTGCTGGCTCTTTCTCTCAGCTTCTTCAAGTTTCTAAAACGATAACATGTTGTTTATTTATGTTTGTGAACAGAACATCAACAAATAGTGGTACTTTCTGATCTCCTTCCTAGCATTTAAAAGCAATTCTTCTGAGGAAGAAAAAAGAAAAACGGCTTTTTTCCCTCCATTTTCACCATAAAGCTATCCCTTTATCTTTCACTAATTTTGAGTGTGCAATGAATGTACTGTTTATACAAAGTGAGAAAGTCAGTAAGTAATCACCTTGAACAAGAGACTTCCCTTGGTGAACACTAATGGAAAAATACTGAGGGGCGGCATCAAATCTGAGCTTTCTCCACTAGAGGGCCTTATTTCTTTCCTTCCTCAGGATCAGCAAAATATTTGGTATTTTTTCCACTGTTTGCAGCACTCCAAATGGCCACATTGTCTAAACAACTTGTAACAGGGGGCTGTGCGATTCTATTTTGCTTAGCTCTGTAGTACTTTTTTTTTTAAAGGTTCACTTCTTAAAGCCACTAAGTAGGCAGAGTGAGCTGCTGACACATATAATATTAACTTAGAGCAGATTAACTTCTGTCTGGGTTGCTGCTATCATACCTTAGAGTTAAAGAAACGGGTGTGTACAGGGGAAGCTGCCCTTGGCCACCATTCTTACCTTGATGTGTGCTTTGGCTTTGTTGAGCAGCCCAAGCGTCGTGTGCCTGGTGCAATCTGGTCCAAGTGGGATCAGCACTTTCAAGCGTTCCAAACAAAGGCGCAGATGAGCTCGTCTGAGGGAGATGGAGGAAAGTCAGCTAAGATGATAGGTCTCGAAGAAAAACCAGCACAGCTACCACCTTACATTTAGTGCATCAGGAACTGATGCTCTGCCCAAAGATAAGCAGTCTGTGCTTTTTCCTTTTCATAGCCACTTTGCTTTTTACTTTTTCTAGTTCCAAAACACTAAGTAGCAAGCACAGGCTTGCCATGCTTTTGGGCCTTGCCTTTCCCAACTATTTTATGTTACAAACTCCAGCTATTCTGGTCTATTATTCCTATTGGTAAGCCCTGGCATAGATGGGTCATTTATTGGTCCTCAGACCCAATAAGCTATTTCAACCTGATGAGATCTAGAGGATGGAAAGTACATTGGGACAATTAAATATAGTCTTGGCTACCCAGAGCCTAAGCCTAGTAAATGTATTTGGGCTATGTGGGGAGGAGGGAGTTCAACTAGCCAAGGTATCCTGTAGAGATGTAAAATTTTCTCTCATGAACAGTTTCATAGGATCATAGATTTATAGCCAGAAGAGACCTTAGAAGTCATCAAGTCTATTCCTCATTTTACAGATAAGGAAACTGAGGCACAGAGAAGTTATATAACTTGCCCAAGATACCACTGAGGCAGGATTTGAGCCCAGGTTTTTCTGACTGCAAGGCCAGTGCTGTGTCTACTACACTGTTGTGACTACACTCTACCTCTTTTGTGCACTAGCCCCAACGTCCATCAAAAGCTAAATAAGTGGCAAACTGTCTGTAAAATTTCAGCCTTTCCAGTGCAGACAAAACTAATTATAACGGAATACTAAAAACCTCTACCTAGTAGGGAGGGATAGGAAAAGATAGAAAATATGGCCATGGAATCTCCTTTCGGCCCAATTCCTGAAACCACTGTAGGTTTTAATTCCACTTTTCTTTCTCCTCCCTTTATATTTGCAAAAGGAAAAGACTAATTGACAAAATTGTTCAAAAAAAGTCACCAAGTTTCACAAACTCATTCTATTGGAAATTCTGAGGCAGATTCTCCTGTAAATCCTGACAGATAAGCTCCTGCCTTTTCTGGGACTAACAAGCTATAGTCAGGCCAGTCTCCAAAGATATGAGCCCATCTAACAATAGCAACAGTCCAATGACAAGTAATCTGTTAGCATCACGTATTAATTAATATAAAGTCAAAGAATATGTTTTTCATATCGTACCTCCTCAGGCAAAGTGAACTTGCAACATCTACCACAAACAGGACAGAAGCATCGTCCATTTTTCCTTCATAGAAGACAGAAATGGTTTTACCAAATCACTAACCCTATGCCCTCTTCATCTAAATGTGCAAAAATAGTGGTAAGTGAAATTCCCATTGGTAGCAGGCTGAAGAAGCATCATACATAGGCAATTCTGTCACTAACAAGCAAGGATGATTAAGGCTTAGGGAGGTCAGGTTTTTTGCTGATAAACTGTTGATATTTTTGCACACTCACTAGTCTAACTATCTTTAAGGGTCTGTCAGTACTTCCATTACAAAGTCTGCTAAATTGAATAACTCAATTCCAGGCAAAAATCTGGCAAACTCAGTTTTGCAGATAAGGAATAAATAAAGGAATGCTTTTCATTTGACCAAGGTTACCAAAAAAAAAAAAAAAAACAAAACAAAAAAACCATCACAAAAACCAAATCCCTCCCCAACTCGTCAGCGAATTTCCCTAAATGAGGTTTAAATTTATAATGTTTTACCTGCTGCCCCACATTCCCCATCTTCATGAAGCCTTCCACTCATTTCCTAAACAGAAATCTCCCAGGTAAGGCAACTGCTCACAGACCTTTATTCTTACTGGACGAAAAACAACTACAATGGAAATTTCTTTAAAGTCATCATAACATTGGACAAACAAGGGACTCATAACCTGATTGGAGGGAGAAAGGAAGAGGCCCATATCTCTCTGGCTAATAATTAGTACAGTTATGGAAGTTCCGAAAGATCCCACCAAGAATGAACAATCATCTTTACAAAAAGCCAAAACATTGGGCTGCCAGATAAATTAATGACTCATGTTAACAACGTAAGAAAAACTTGTTCCAGAGGAGACTGAAGTTGTTCCGTGATCTACCTTCAGTCTCGAGGGGTAATATTTTTTACCTCTGGTTTTAATAAAGGCTTAAAAATGATTTTTTATTCTGGTTATAGTTTCAGGTAAAGGAAAAAAAAAAGTTCGATCAAGGATTCTGTTTGATTCTACCACCACAACATTATATTAACATAACAGTAACACCCATGCTAAATTTACTAGTAGAAAAACCAAGATGTATTAGTGATGTTATTACTCACTTGTTAATTTAACAAGTATTTTATAAATCCAGAGATTCAAAATGTACTTTTATATAGTGTCTGGTGCATAGTAGGCACTTAAAAATGTGTATTGATTAATGATGCAGTTTTTCATTGTGTGTCATATGTAAGTGTCTACCCAGTAGTACAGCCAATAAGTCAAGACAATAAACATTTATTTATTGATTGACTGATTGATTTTTGGTGAGGCAATCAGGGTTAAGCAACATGCCCAGGGTCACAGAGCTACTAAGTGTCAAGTCTCTGAGGTTGGATTTGAGTTCAGGTCTTCCTGACTCCAGGGCCAGTGGCCTATCCATTTCACCACCTAGCTGCCCCCACAATAAGCATTTATTAAGCACTTACTATATACGTCACTGTGTCAAGTACTGGAGATACAAAGGCAAAAAATAATCTTTGTTCTCAAGGTGTTCACAATCCAATGGAGGAGATAACATGCAAATAACTATGTACAAACAAGATACAGATAAACTAGAAATAATGAACAGAGGGAAGGCACTAGAATTAAGGATGATTAAGAAAAGCCTCTTGTGAGATTGATTCTAAGCTAAGGAAGTCAAGAGAAAAGAGATGAGGAGGAATAGAATTCTAGGCATGGGGGACAACCAGTGAAAATACAGAGATGGGAATTGGAGTGTCTTGTAGGAGGAACAAGAAAAAGGCCAGTGCCACTGGATCATAGAGTATTTGGCGATGAATAAAGTATAAGAAGACTGGAAAGGTAGGAAGGGTCAGTTTAGGAAGGGCTTTGAATACCAAGCAGAGGATTCTGTATTTGGTTCTGGAGGCAATAAGGAGTACGCGGCATCTACTTCAATACGGGTGGAGAGGTGATTTTGTGTGTGTCTGTGTGTGTGTGTGTCTGTGTGTGTGTGTGTGTGAGAGAGAGAGAGAGAGAGAGAGAGAGAGAGAGAGAGAGAGAGAGAG